GTCTGATCCCGTCCCATTCTCTGAAAGTGACCCTGAATTCTTGGTTGTAATTCACATAAAAGCTCGCATCCCCGAATCTAACAGAAAGATCCATGAAAAAAACGCTAGAACCTTCGGCCCAATAAGCACAATCCTTTCTTAATCCGAGCCAGTTTACAATATCCTCAAGGGTAGGCTTGTTAGGGATTAAAATGTTTTCCCGTTTTCTCACTCTTCCTTCAAGCCCTGTACCGACTGTGTCTATTCCGTCCCGAATTTCCTCAATTATCGGGGTGATTTCCATGGTTCCAAATCGGAACACCATTTTCTTATTGTCCCAATAGCCTGTGAGGACTTCAATCAATTCGGGCCACCCAACCATGTTGATGAGTTCTGTTAGGGCTCCTATATATTTGTTGAGGACCCTTTTGTGGACCACAGTGAGGTCGTTGTACCACATCTTGAGCAAAACTGGGGCTTCCACTACCATGTCGAATTTAGGAAATCGATCCATACCTACAAAATAAAGCACGGTTAAGATTCCCTCCCCAAATAGGCAACAATCAGGTATCTACACATACATCTTTCAAATGTCAAACAATATGATATGTCGTTAGGTCGTGGACCTTAGACATGATTTTGGCGGTTTTACTAATGGACTTAATACGCCTTGGGTATTAAGCCGTATTAGGCTAATGCTTAGATTTGGATTTGGTTTCGCTCTACTCTAGGTTGACTAGAATTGGTTTAGAAATGACGGTTACCCGAGTCGGACAAACAACAGGGTGAAGTCTAATAAATGACGTTGGATGACCACAAGCCAACTATTCATTTATCACTTCCAAATGATTTAACTTGTGTTTTTTCTGAAGGACAGCCGTGGTAAGCCACGTAACCACCTTTTCCTAATGCAATCTATTTGCCGTTTGGCAGAATCGGGTGCCATGAATGCTACAAGTAATATAAGATACGATAATTTAAACAAGCAAACCGTTAAACACATAGACAAATAATTAATCTTAAGGTTAGAACCATTCAAATCCCCAGCGGAAGTCGCCATTCTGTTTTATTTAGAAATATATTTTTGACTGGTTTTAGAGTCGCCACTTAATTTTTAAAGAAAAATCAAGAAAACTATTTTTTTTTCAAAAAGATTAAAACGGAAAATCTAATGAAAAATAATAAAGGGGGTTCGAGGTTCATATTAGCATTTCGGGAAGGATTTGAAAGCACTCGAAATGCCCGCTAACATGCGGTTATCCGGTGATTAACTATTTGGCTAATGTTTTAAAAGGTGAGCCTACTTTAGATAAGTTGAAAAATTTAACAAATTTTTAAAGGTTTAAGTTATCTTAATGGAAAAAAGGGGGAAAATATTAAAATACATTACTTAAGTAAAATATTGTTATATATATTTTTTAGTTGAGTAAAAATGAATGCTTACTTAATTTGGAAAAAAGAAAGATTAATTCGGGTTGGCTATCTTTAGGGAATTTGAATTGTGATGACCTTAAAATTATTTAAAAGACAAGTATGCAAATAATAACAAGTAAGCGAATGTAAGACGTAAGTAATAAAAGATGGGCCCAAGTCTGGTTTTCCTGTCTGCCTGGGCCAGTATTTGGGCCCATTTTCGTTTTGGGCCTTCGGCCCATCAGAGTCACATGTACCTGTCCTAAACTAACAAAAAAAATCATCTTTTATTGTCTTTAGGCCCAAATTTTTCCTGTCCTAAGAACTAACACAATAATAATAAATGATGACAGAGGGGGGCTTAGACCCAAAATAACAAAATACAACTCGGGGTAAAGAGACAGGCTTGGGAGCCTCGTTCTGTTTCAATATACAATATATACACTTAATGCATATTATTTTATATTCTTGATGTATCAACTTCCAATTCCCGTTCGTCAAATTTTGAGGGACCTGTTCTTCAAATTTGCTTGTCGGCTGACTCGAGGATAAATGAGTTTAGGCCTTCGTGGCCCAAATGACATGCAAAGGGAGGAGGAGGGAGTTCATGATGAACTCGGGCGGATTTTACATAAATAAGAATAAAAATAAGAATTAGTATTGTGTCATGGCCATAACCAAAGTATAAAAAGAATAAAAATAAAAGAACACACACACTGTGATATCTCATGTTCGGAATGTAACTACTCAACAATCGAAATTCAAGATGCGCCCAATTAACTCATTTTTCTCGGGTAGACAAAATACATTAATTCTAATTCATGAACTTTCCCAGACTCAATTATTATTAAGTGGAAAATTTTAGCATACTCAGAAGAATAAATAACAGAAAGACCCAATTCCTCTTTTTAAATTAATTGACAAACTTTAACTCCAAGCAAAAGCCTAAGTGATCAATTCAACTACAAAGGTAAATTAATCAATCAAGGAAACAAATTCCCTATTAGTGAACTAGTTATTGTTTTAACATTAAGGTAACATCCCTTCAGCGACACATATACTATACTGCCAAATAAATAAAAATGAAATAAAATAATGATAATAATAATAATAGGCCAGCTAGTAAATGATACTAAAGTTAAAAGCAAAGTCTTAAATTCCTTCACATTTAGATAGAATACCACAGCTATATAAAGACTATTTTGAAATCGAAACCTCTTGACTCGAACTGACTGTGCTGTTGGAGACAAATTCTTAAGTGAAAACTAACATGCTACTTTGAAAACAAATTAGCATATGAACAACCACGGTTAACAGTGCGACAAGAAACTAGGCTGATTCAAGACATAGAACAACCAAACTCTCGCCTACTAGCATGTTAGAAAACAAAAAAAAAGGGTAAACAACACGGGGGGAAAATAATTCAGGTTGTTCATTACGGCTCACATGATTCATGCAAACTAGAGTGACAAATAAATAAAATACAGGTGCATTTTCACATATCATATAACCACAATTTTGCAACCAACAAAATAAGATTAACAATGACATGATACAAACAAATAGGAAAGAAACCACACGGAGTCGTCGACACTCATAGCAGAACTCGTTAAAAGCAACACTAAGATGAGCAGAGCGAGGCCACTTCAAAGTGAATAACATGTCAAAAAAAAACATTTCTAAATTTCCAGCACTCAAACAACTTGTCATGATCAAGCAATAAACAAGCCAACACATTAGCAAACAAAATGAGTCATAAGCGGGAATAAAAGTTACCTTTTTTGGGCAGCGACCAGGACAACGAGCTTGAACTATGAAGCTTTCTCCACCGAAGTCAGATGTGGACAGCAAACAGAGAACCTAAATAGTGATTCGAATTCGAGCCAACTTAGGGAGAACGATGACAACCGAGCAAGAAGAATGAGATTCTAAAGGAACTAACTCACACTTCCCTTTTCGAATGTGTTTTTATATGTCTTTTCCACTGCTTACTTGAGCTATTCTCTACACCTTAAAAAAAAATTCAACTCCCAAAAAAGAATCCCCCCTTTCACAGTGAACACCAAGCAAATATATAGAGGGAGAATAGGGTTCGGAATGGGGAAAAGGGATCCAAAATCGGATAGAAAGGGCCCATTTTGAAATTCAAACTCCATCAATTATTTCACCATTTAAGGAAAACACCATTTTTCTTGCAATTTTGACTCTTTCCGGAAGAGGAAAGGAGGGGAGACGACTAGGATCAATTTCATCGTCCTTGGGGCGCAACGTGGCTCGATCCCATAGCCCCAAGGACTGAGACGGGATTGCTTTTTGCCATTGTTGTCGCTGTGATATTGCTGTTTGGACAGCTTTGTTTGGCTGGCAAAATTCTTTGATGTTAACGTTGGGAAAGAAGGGATGTCTCTGGGTTCTTTGGAGTTGGAATGGGCTGGGTCGGGTCTGCAGAGGTGATAATGGAGGGGACTGTTGTTTATGTTGAAGAATGGGGCTTCTTTTGGATGAAAGTTGGGCTGGGAATTGTGGAATTTAAGCTCGGTAGTGGGCTGCTAAAGTTGGAAAAGGATTGTAAAATGGTGGGTTGTTGGAAATTTGGAAAAAAGAAAAGGGCCCAAAATTGGCTTTCTCTAGATGGTTGAAATAAGTTGATTAGGTATATAACCTCAAATAAAATTCAATTGTAGTCAAATCAAAATTTAATGAATTTGGTTAAAACTTGACCAAGACGAGTTAATACAAATTAATTAGCGAGCTTCTTAATTTCAACGAAATAAGATAGTTAACTCAAATATAAACTAAATAATATAAACTATTATATAACTAAACTAATTAACCAAAATATATATTTTTTAGATGACTTTCGAATAATCATAAAATATACTAATTATATATATAATTATGTAAAACATATATATTATCTAAAAATCATAAAAAGTGATAACAACCATCTTAAAATAACTTGCAAACTATATATTTTTTTTTTTATAAAAACTATTTATCTTAAATCGTTTAAAATTGGAGAAGCTCGATGATCAATCTATGTTGGGGAGGGTCAAAATTGGGTGTCAACACAGGGGATACACGTTACCTAGGCCGAGGGTTTATTGGAAACAGTCTTTTTACTTTCACTAGGTAGGGGTAAGACTACCTACGTATTTCCCTTCCAAGACCCCACTTATGGGACTACACAAGCATGTTGTTGTATAATGAGAGCAGGGGATAAACTACTGGCACCAGCAGTGAATCAAGCATGTTCGGTTCATTTTTTGGGGCATTGAGCCCCAATGAGTTTGGAGTAAAAATTTGGAAACCTGCTGCTTTTAGTATACACGTCCATACAATTATGGCCTATTTGATTGCACCAGATAGGATATTATCAAAAGTAAAATGACTACTCCCTCCATTCCAAATTGTTTGTCAGTTTGGCTCGGCACGACGTTTAGAAAGAAATGAAGACTTTTTTAAAACCCATGACGATTATAAACATGTCATAACATTAGTGTGACTATAAAAACTTCTCATTAAAGGCAAAATGAGAAGATAATGTCAAACAAATTGGAACAGATGGGGTATTTCAAAACTACTACTTCTATCACATCACATAAGAGTAAAGATAAACCAATGCAATAATATGCATTCAACATGCCCTTAGTACATGTTACTCCATAACAGGCAATCCTCATGCTAGAAGATGAGAGAAAAAACGGATAAGCACCTGAACTCATAAGAAAATGGCGACAGGGGCCAAATGGCTCCAAGTTCCCAAATGAAAAATACATAAAATCCCAAGTAATTGACGACTCAATTTATGATTAAAATGTCTCAAGTACACATTTCAGTTCGTAGAACATTCTATGGTTCGTACTTGAAAGAAAGAGATGCGAATGATCTGCTGCAGGATGAGTACTTTGTGCTGTGAAAAAAGTGTCATTATGCCTCCCAACCTCTTAATTGAGTGGCACGTGCAACACGATTCACCCCCAATGTGAACGCACCCATCCGAAGATTGCAATTATGTGAATGGCACATGCCCTTGAGGTTATGAAAGGCTCTTGTCATGTATTTCTTAAGCTCTCTATTAACCTTCTCCTCATCCCACATAAATCCTTGAATATTCTGCATATGAAAGAAGATTCTTGAGAATAAGAACTCCAAATGTTCGTTACATCTCAGTTTTCAGTTAAAAAGAATAGACTAAGTACATGTCTCAACACCAGTTAAAGCGAGATTTAGAGTTTGAGAAAATTGAATATGCCTCCAATTCCTAGCCCTACCATTCGCACCAAAGTGTAAAAAATAAGAAACCTATATACCTAGAATAATCATTTGATCTACATGGTTTTCAGTACTCGTCTTAAGTTGTCGGTGAACTTAGTAACTATATTACGTTATTTTCTCGAGAAATAACTTTACAAAGACTGTCTTGATAAAGATGCAAGATTCCCAATGAACTATACTGTTGCATCTCCCAGTAAATTTTCGCTTCAAATATTTTTCAACATACACCATTCATATTGCTCTATGTTTTAATGGCAAAAATATCTGGGAGGCATAAATATCAAAAGTTACCTGAACCCATTCAAAATAGCTGACAGTCACACCTCCAGCGTTGGCATAGATGTCTGGAAGTATTACTACTCCTTTCTTCGATAAAATCTGCAGAAGGCAATTGTGTGAGGAAAACTATGATTCATGCTAGTCCAAGAGACTCGAGAGTCCCGGAAAAAAAATTGATACCTCATCAGCATCTGGATCAGTAGGATGGTTTGCTGCTTCTATAATGAATTTGGCCTTGACATTATCAGCATTTTCTCTTCAAACAACAAAAAGATCAGAACATACAAGGAAAAGTAAGATACTCTACATTAGGTACACTTAGCTCACAAAAAAGGGAGAAGTTTCTATTTGCTCCAGCGTTTGCCCATAATTTTGGAACAGTTGCTGACATTGACTTCTCCATTCTCTCGACACAAAAGCAAATTTCAAGAATTAAACAACAAATTTCAGAGCAAGATAAAGGTTGAACCTGTTCAAAACTCCTCCCAAAGCACAAGGGATGAGAACGTCACATTCATGTGTTAGCAATTCATCAGAATTCATCACATCCGCACCAGCAAAATCGATGAGCTTTCCTGTTTTTTCTTTATGACTAAGCAAAGCTGGTATATCAAGCCCATTGGGGTTCTTGACCGCTCCAGTTATGTCACTCACTGCAACTACCTTGCCACCTCTCTCATGAATGAGCTTTCCTGCCCACGCTCCTACATTTCCAAATCCCTAAGGAATCCAAATACATATTTATGACATCATTTCGACCAAATATTGTGGAATGTGCTAGGACTAATCTAATTGCATAATAACCTGAATTGCAAAAGTCAAATCCTTAACATGCTTCCCATATTCAGCAAGCAAAGCTTCTGTAGCATAGACGACACCACGTCCTGTCGCAGCTTCTCTTCCCAATGACCCTCCAAGATCCTAAACAAAATGTGGCATGATTACATGAATCATACATAAATTGTTTCAGTTTTAAAAGGTAATACTAGCATATTATGAAAAACTTACAATTGGTTTTCCAGTGACAATTGCAGGTGAGTGACCATGAAATTTTGAATACTCATCCAAAATCCAGGCCATAGTCTGTTTACAGCAAGCATCACATAGTGAAAACTTGCATCTTATTCTAAAGTTTCAAAATGAAGAACATATATCGACAAACTTGCAAATAGAATTGTGTTACTAACCTGCGCATTAGTGCCCATATCAGGTGCAGGCACATCAGTATTAACTCCAATTAGATCATGAATTTTCTGTGTGAAAACACGAGTAAGTCGCTCCAACTCGCTCACACTTAAATCCTTTGGGTTACAGCCTATTCCACCTTTAGCTCCCCCATATGGAATGTCAGCTACAGCGGTCTTCCAAGTCATCAGTTGAGCAAGGGCATTTACCTCATCAGGGTCAACCTTATAGAAATTTTATAGCATCTCAGTATAGAATCGTTTATTAGTGGAGCTCTAATCATAAAACGGTAGTAGACTTGTAGAAGGATGTAAACTGTAGTGAAGTTAAATTAACTATAAAAGAGAGAAATCCTTCAGATACAAATGTTATACCAAATTACAAGAGTTGATCATCAGAAGAATCGATAAACTACAGCTCAAGAGTGTGAATGCTCTGCAGCAATTCCGATGTATTCTGGCACTTCTTGTTCCAATACTAAATACTATTTGTCTTTTAAAATATATTAGGAGTTCTCTAAATCTCACATTTATCCTTGTGATTACAGTTAAGTGTTTAATCAACTAAAACAGCTTCTATCATAACACCTCACTAAACGTAATTGTAACAACAACAACCAAGAATTAATTGCAACAAACACTTAAGTCTAGACATGGCTGATAAAACAACTAGTTTTTATCACTAGCTTTATTGCCAAAAGCAATAAAAACAAAAATTGATATGTGGGGAACCTCCGACTGCAAAATACTTTTGCAAAGCTTAAGAGCTAAATCCCATTCCACAGCTATTGTATCATTTTTATTTTCTAATAAAACCAGTGCTCCATGTCTGAAGCACCTCATCAAGTGTTGCATAACATGAGTTATCGATACCGTGATATTTTTTACAAGCAAATGTCTATATGAATATATAGTGGTGAAGCTTATCAAAACTACCATTCGATTAAATTATCAGTTCTAATTGAATTTAGTTTCACTAAAATCTAGCATCAATAACCAACCATCTAACAATCCTTGTCTTCATAAGTCGAGATTGGTCTTATATGAATAAGGAAAGCTTAACTTCGAAACACATATACACAAGAATTCACCTATCCCTCGAAAGCCAACATCAGAGCAGTATGACTAAGATACAACGATTCTCTTTGAACAAGAACACAATGGTAGACGATTACCTATAATGATTGAAATTCCATACATAATCCCCAATCATTAATTTTTTTACCATATCATATCCATCTAATTTTGATTACTCACAAAATTGTCATAAAATACAAGATCCAATTACAAAATTGCAGTACAAACAACCATAGTTGATTTTAAAGACGATCAGTCAACTAATAGTTATTATTTACCTCAGGATGGTATCTAATTCCGCCTTTCATAGGACCACGAGCATTATCATGCTGCACTCTAAATCCAACATAGGAAACTAACGTTCCATCATCCTTGGGAATTGTGCATTCCACCTGATCATCTAAATCATGAGAATTCTATTTTTATACTCAAAATTTAAGACGAATAATATTTTTTTTTAAAAAACCTTAATTTCTCTGAAAGGAATGAGAAGACTCTTTTCAATTTTGGAATCCAAGCCAAGAATGCGAGCCGCTTGGCGGAAGTTGCGGTTGGTTGCAGCAAGAGCGTTCATGGCAGCAAATAGGTCTGGTGGAAATTGTATTCACTTGGTAAAACTAGTACTATCTTTTTCTTTTTCTTGGTCCTACGTACTCCCATATATATACACTATATATTTTGGAAGACTAAAGAATAAGAAGGAAATTGACTAGGATGTGACACATTTGCCAAAGAATTCCTATCGATCTCCGTTTAATTGACTAGGATGTGATACTCTTAAAAGAATTTCTATTTGTGTCTATTTATTTGACTAGGATGTGGCACTTGCCAAAAGAATTTCTATGAGACACTTTGACAACGAATTTCTATCTAATTGACTACAATGTGACACTTGCGAAAGAAAAAAAGATTTCTTTCTATATTTATTTAATTGACTAAGATGTGACACTAATCAAAAAAAAATTTGTGTCTATCTCAATTTTACTGACTAGGATGTGACACTTACAAAAGAATTAATACTATTTATATTTATTTAACTGATTAGGATGTGACACTTATCAAAAAATTCATGTCTATTTTTATTTAACTGACTAGAATGTGACACTTGCAAAAGAATTACTATCTGTTTTATGTAATTGATTAGGATGTGATACTTGTAAAATAATTTGTGTCTCAAACTAGGAAAATAATTCAAAATACTCTTCTTACTAATGGTTACTTCAAAATAAGAAAAAATGATCAAATTTTACCCTTGAACTATTCAAAATAGGATGTTCTTACCCTCTATTTAAAGTTCCGGACAATTTCTCTTAATTGTAATGACTTGAGCAAAAACTTATATTAGCGATTATGAGATTAATTTGACTATTTTAAATAATAATTTTTATATAATGTCAATTTTATGTTCTATATAAAGTTAAATTGTATACATTAATTTTTCAACTAAACATTTATTCAATTGTTTCATTTCAAAATTATTTATATCGGTCCTCGACAAAAATTTGGGATGACTCAAAGTTACGATAAGTAATATAATATAACAAACTATAATTAAATCATTTTTAGAGTAAGTAAAATAAAGGGGAATTTTCGCATATAACTACTCAAAATAACTTAATTGAGCTTTATAGCGATAGTTTGCTAATTACAATTCATAGCTACATGTTACGGGAGGAGAGAGGCGAGCGAGACTGGGAGACGGAGGAGAGAGGCGAGTGGGACTGGGAGACGGAGGAGAGAGGCGAGCGAGAGTGGGAGACGGAGGAGAGAGGCGAGCGAGATTGGGAGAGGAAGGAGAGAGGCGAGCAAGAGAGGACATTAATTTATATAATTCACATCTCGTTTGTATAATTTGCGGGTACATTTGTATAATTTGCGTGTATTTTGTATGATTGAGTAATACAAATTCTGAAATTATAAAAATATGATAAAAATCAAAATAACGAAAATTTATACAAACATAAACATATGAACTCTAAACATTATACAAATTATATTATACAAATTACATTATATAAATTATATTATACAAAATTTGAAAACTACACGTTCATACAAACTTTAAAAAGTTATACAAAAAAAGATTGAATGTATCTGATGATAAAATTGAAAAACCAAAGAAATCACCATCATATACAAATACGAACCATCATATACAAATACAAATCAAATGAAGAAATGTTGAGAAAATGACCAAAAGCCCCCCCCCCCCCCCCCCCCCCCCGCACACACCAAACTTATAGCCAGATTCCCAACTACACTCATACTTCACGGGGGTCCTATTACCCCATGAACATTTTTTACTTATTATTTCACCCTTATTTACTGACATGTCGAAGAAGGTGAGACCACCTCCTTTAGGCGCATAAGAACATAAAAAAAAATTCAAAAACTTAAGAAAAGTACACGTGGAAGTCCAAATCAGCTATAATTAATCTCCAACAGTATAATCCTATTCTCTCCCAAAATCAAACTCTCTTTTTCTTCCTCTTTTTCTCACTTTTCAATTGTATATTCCTTCATTCTCTCCCAAATCAGCTTAAAACTTGAATTTAGTTGTCAAATCATTCAACTATAGTTTCAATTTCAAAAAAGCTTGAAGCTTTAAGGCTTGTAATCTCTTCGATTTCACAGTTAGGGTTCAAAAGTTGTTCTTCAAATTTATTGTTTTTTGCTTTGTTAGGGTAAATAATGAAAAATGCGGACTTGAATAAGCTTTGTATGGAAGAATCAGACCCAATGCTCAAAGTCATAGTGCGGTGCAAATATGAAATTTTACTGCATATGCAAATTTCTTGGTCAAAGTCAAATCCTGAAAGCCGGTTTTGGTCCTGCCCCTACTATGGTATATGTGATTTTTCTTCTCATCTATTATTTGTTGAATTTAATTGATGTTAATGTACTATTTTGATATTTCTGTCTAAGAATTGTAAATTTTTTCGATGAAGAGACAAAGAAAAAGTCGACAAAAGATCAAAATTTATTCTCCCAAAATTGGTGAACAAAATCAAAGAGTTGGAAGAAGAAGTTTTGAAGAGGAAGGCTCAAATCAATGAGCAAGTGGTCGACAATAATAATGGTGTAGGTTCTATTGGAAGGTGTAGGTTCTATTGGAAGATCATTTTGTGTGTTTTGATTTATGTTGTTGCCATGTTTATCAACAACATATTCCGAAGTAGTGAATCAAGTATTGATCTAGTTGAATTGGGATAGTAAGGAATTATGTTTTGCTTTGGCATAGTAAGGTACCCTATGTTAGATTTTGATGTAATAAGGAATTATGTTTTGCTTGTAATGCTTTGTATTTATGTCTCTACTTATGTCAATGAAGATTTCAACTGATGATTGTGCAATTATAAATTAGTTATTAAAACAAACGAGAAAACTGTAGAATGCCTTTAATGGATATAACATCATTTATGAAATAGGTCTCACATAGAGAAAATACTGTAGTCACAACCAAAAATAAAAACAGAAGTTGTCTGGTACTAATACATCAATATTCTACATTAAAAAAAAAACAAAAGGCTTAAAACAATGCTGCAATACTACATTTTTCATGGCTCCCTGGATTGACTTGGACTGTTTGAACTACTTCCTTTTGGTTTTTTTCTTTGTTGCTCACTCATTTCTTGAAGTTTTCTTATTGAGATTGCTGATTTTCCTTTCCATTTAAGCTTGCTTACAATACTTGGTTTAAAAATCAATATCACCCATTATGTAGCTGATTTTGTCACTTTGGTTGCACCAGTAGATATATCTTAAAGCTTCGCATTCCAGCCTGCACTCAATTTATGTAAACTCCCTTAAATTAGCTATCCTTGTCATCATCTTCACTCTGATCTCTTCAAGCATAGTAATAATTGTTTTGTGCCTTGCTGCCAATATTTATGCATTAAAACACTCATACATGTTATTGTCTACAAAATCACATTTTACTCCAGTATTGAAGTAAATCTTACACCAGTACTCTATGTTGTAGTACATCAAGTCATCCATCATTTTTTGTAAACCAAAAACTTCATCTTCTCCACATTTTTTCTTAATGGAGCCTCAAAAGTACTTTTGGAAACCCTCCAAAATTGTTGTCTTCTTTGAAGTCCTCTCCGGTCTTTAGCCTAGTTAGCTAAGATGTGTTTAGCACACATTTTATGTTCTGCAGTAGATAATCGATCTTGAATTGCTGCAAACAATCCCTATAAATAGATGTATTATGTCATAATAGCATATGCAATATTAAAATCAATAAATATAAATCAAAAATGAAAAAGTACACACGTCTTTTGCATATGTGTAATCAATGTGAAATTTTCACCATCTCCTAGTCCTAGATCATTTTTTAATAGCTTAACAAATCATGTCCATGTATTTTTGTACTCATATTCAACTACTGCCCAAGCTAGTGGCAGCATCTGGTTATTACCATCCTTGGTAACATCAACTAACAACTGACATTTACAAACCCCTTTAAGGAAACAACCATATAAATCTATGCATTTCCTACAATTTAAGAATGCTTTCTTCAATGAATCAAAACATGTATAAAAGCTCTTAAATATAGGCCTACCAAGTGCATGAGGGTCATCCGGTTTAACAACACAAGTGGTTCATGTATTGGTCCTTAGTAATTCATCCTTATACTCAAGAATTCTTCCAAATTCAACAATATGATCACTCATAATAGCTTTCAACAATTTAGCTCTTGCCTCCTAACAGTATTCTTGCCAACATGAACTTTAAACTTTTTTTCTAATTAGCTCTTGCAATTTGAAAACTCTTTTGCTTAGCTGCTCCAGGATTCTTTGTCTAAAGACTGTAGATATGTACTTTGCATTACACAAAATAATTTATGGTTGTTACATTACAAGTATGATCTAGATTAGGGGTGTGCAAAAACTGAACCGACCGATAAACCGAACCGAAAAAAGTGTTATTGGTTTATTGTTATTGGGTTATTGGGTTAACGGTTATTTAATGATTTTACAAAAAAAAATTATTGAGTTATCAGTTCGTTATTGATTTTTTAATATTGGGTTGACCGATAACCCATTAAGAATATAATAATTTACTATTTTAATTTTTAGTTATACATATATATAATATATTAGACTAAAAATATAAAAACTTTACGCAATAATTAACACTACTTAATAGTTAACTCTCCTCTCTACTTTTAGTTATTTAACCTTTAGGTTTTACTTTTTAGTATTACTTATTTACTTTAGTTAGTTTATAATTGACTAATATTAGCTTTTGCACGATTGTAAATATCTGCAATTTGATTAACGTTAGAAATTCAGATTTTGTGCTTTTTTAAAAAAAAAAATAACGTAAGAACTTCATTTAGTTGGGTCTTTTCTTTATATATGATTTACCATAAGCATGGCCTCATTTGCTACTGTTTTGACTTTTGACTTTTGTCTATGATTTGGTTTTATTTGATTTCTTTATTGCATAAAGGGGACATCATTTTATATAGTATGATGATCAAGAATTGACCAAGGCTTTGTTGTGATGACCAAAACACAGCAAGTTGGTCCCTGTTGTCCCATTTGGGATGATTATTTCGATGTATGCGTATCGCGTCAAATTATTGGATAAGTCATA